CGTTATGTGCTTAGAAATGGGGAGAAAGATAAATGCTTTATACAATGACATCAAACAAATTCCACAGATGGCCATGATTGATAAACAAACTAAAATAAATGAGAATTCTTACAAACTTGGCAAAAGAAAATCTCCTCGTGTAAAAGTCTGTCTTTGTAAGCATGTACACTTTCATAGCTAATTCTAGCTTTTGGAAAGCAATAAAAGGTTGAAGATATTTTCTAAACACAAATTTGTCTTATGCAGCAATAACTTTAAGACTGATCTTGCTGTAAAATTATTATGTACAATTTTATAATTCAGTGTTTAGGTTATCTTTATGTAAAGCTGAATAGCTACTAATAATTTTCAATTATGTTGGTTTTCTCAAGAGATGTAATCACTTAAAAACAGACCTAAAAACAATTCGCTGTTTCTAAATTCATAATGAACACATAGAAGTTCTGAATATATACTCTTTTAAAACAAATTACAGTAGCACATATCAAACATCAAGAATGTGTAATCTGGATCACTTGAAGTTGATTGTTTCTTCTAAACCATAAACCAAAGAACAAGACAAGTCATATATTTGCAGGATATATAAATATATTTGCAATTTATAGCCAACAAACTGGATGGGCAGGTTTTTTTTTCACATAGTTCCATACAAGCTATATTAACTCCTCTACACACACTTGTTCACAAACACTTTTTCAGAAGATGAGCTGTCTGGCAGGTTGTCAACAGCTTAAATTCACACTACAATTTCTGCTTTTTCATCAAAGATGAGCTGGGTTCTTTAAGTTACGATAAGTGAAATTATTATGGCAGAGACAAAGGAAAGAATTAAGAAAAAAGCTGTCTTGATAAAGTTCTTGATGAAAAATGTTATTGATTCCGCCTGCAGAGAAATCAGCTTCAATATGGCTACAAAAAGAAGACATTTGCAGCCAGACTCAGAAGTGCACACTTAGGATCAAAAGTACACATGAACTAAGATGAAAGGAGGATCTTTTAAATCAATAAACATTCTGCCACAGGCAGGCAATAGCCTTCTTCATCTTCCACAGAAGATTTACACCATTTTAAAAATCTGAGACCATCTCCTTATCTAAGGAAAAGGAAAAACAAAACCTTAAGACTGAATACATACTGGAAAGAACAATGCTGAAAAAAAAATGAAAAAACACAAAGAAAGAGGAAGATAAGCAAGCAGCACCTAACTACTAAAATAGAGAGTTCAGAAAATCATTTCCATGCATTTCAGAAGTTTAAAAGGCAAGGGTCAGGAAACACGCCAAAAAAAAAAATCCTTAATGCAATCACCTTGTCCTAGAAAGAATGAGTAGCCTCTTCTCCCCCTCCTCAAAACGTAAGTAAATAAATAAACAAACCAACAAAACCACACACACACAAACACACAAAAACCCAACCACAACAAAACTGTGTGCCTGAAGTGAAAACCGGTTTGTCAAAATAACATCAGTGAAGACTTTAAAGGTTTGGAATAACATTTCAAAATTGTTTTCATCTAATAGCATGTTCCTACAAAAACAAGCCATGATATTTTTTAAATTATCTCTTGACATTACATTATCGCTGTATTGTATACAATATTTAATTAGCTAAAGATTTTAAGCTTTTAGTTATCCAGAGATAAAAAAATTGTCTTTTCCAGGAAGATATTTTTTCTAAACTCTGAAATGTCAGCATAGCTGCACAGTTAGGAATAAAATATTTTCACAGCAGTAAATGCCTCCTGAAGCATGCTACACAAGCTAGTCAAATTAACATGCTGCCTACATAACCATTCATATTCTCCCTGGACAATAAGTAAGGAAAGGATGTCTCAGTTGCACAATGTTAATCAATACATTTAAAAGAAGTCATTTTTATAATGACAGTCTTCCCCCCTCTCCGATGCTTTTTGGAACTTCTGAAGGCCTTACCAGTGCTCCTGCCAACAATTCCCTGTCTGTGTTCTTCAGTTATATCAGTGATGTAACAGAGATGGATTTTAAGTGAAAACAACTTTCAAAATCCCCTTTTCGATGTCTATGTGCTTTCACTAAACACTATTCTACAGGGGCACGAGGATTGGAAATAGAATTGCTTGTTTCAAAAAACACAAGTGCTGAATTAGAGTTGCAGACACAGTTTTCTATTTGAAGTACCAGGTAAAGTGTTTCAATTGCTTTTTCCTGAAGAGTTAACTCCTCACTTGTTTCAACATGTTCTCAGATTGAACCATATTCCAAATGCCATTTGGCAAGTTACTGCATTTCTGCTAAGCACAGGAACACTGGATACCTACTACAGATAAGGTTTTCAGACACCTACTGGTAAGGCTGAAAGTGAAAGACTTCTGCTTAATCACTTACTAACTTCAATATAAGAGGATACTAGCTTCATACAAGAGGAAAGAAAAATAAAGCAACTGTGCCACCACTATTAGTAAACACGTATGTCTGAAGCCATCCAACTGAGGTAAATTAAGGAAAAAAGAACTTGTCCAACCTATATGTTAAAACAACATCTCTTTGTCTGCCACTACCTACAATTACCAACATTATAAACTAAGGAATATTTAGGACTATGTTCCTATTGAATCTTTTTTAAATTTTGTCTTCTTTCTTTGCCCTCCAAAAGCTCAGGAGAAGCAGGGTCTAGAATTTAATTTGTCTGCACTCAGGTAGAGGATTATAAATGGTGTAATCGCTAGTATCAAAAACTCTTGAGGCACAGAACAAAAAAAGCACCTGATATCATTGCTGCTTAATAAAAACACAGTAAGTCTGTCTCAGACTTTTGTTACAGTGACACCTTGTGGTTACATTTGATTTGAGACCACTCAAAATTTTCAATTTTTTCTAACAGCCTTAAATAGATTTTTAAGACTTGTGAACTAAGATAAAGCACGAAGATGAAACTGCAAAACAAAAATGAAAGCACAAAAAAGTGAAAAGGATAAAATACAAAAGAGCACTGCCTGTTTGGAATTTTTAACATTCACTTGCTGAGGTCCCAGTGTCCCACAAGCTCTTCCCACGAGGGATGTACAGTAATGTCCTTAATTCTATATCTATTGTGGATAATTCACAATGCTCCATACATTAAAAAAAAAATCAAAGTCACAGTAAAGGTTATAATAGACACGATGCAATAAATGACTAAGCAAGAGCACTGGGCTGGCCTTAATTCATTGCATATACGTTACACGCATTTTACTCAACAACTGTCAAAAAGTTGCATCCTTTTCACCCAGCTTGTGTGAAAGAGACACTGAATTTGGTTTTTAAAATGGGTAGTGACTCAAAGAGTTAATTCAAGAGAAAACTGAAAAGATTTAAAGAGCGTAAAAGACAACTCAAGAAGGCAACTATCCTTGCCTAATGTTTCAGGTCTAATTATCTCTTTATAATATACATTTCAACAATTGCTCTAGTGTATTAGACAAACAGGCTGACCTTCAATCTGGCACATTCTACACTCTTGTTTTGAAAATGGTGTGTAAAATAAAATCACAGTCAATAACCTCTCCAATTCACCATTACTCCTCAGTCATCCAATACAGTGTTACCACAAAGCACTTTGCTTTATGACAAGCAGACAAATTGACGTTGAAATAGAAAATCAATTTGGGACAAGTCATTGGATAAGGCCATAGAATTGCTGTCCTTTTGAAGGAAGATTAAGAGAAGTCCCACTCTAACGCCCTAGATCTTTTCAAATCTTCTTGCTTACAGGAGGGAATTAAAAAAAAAAAAAGGCTTAGTAACAACCTGTCTATTTTCTACCAAGTTAAAGTGAAAAAAAACAACCAAAACAACTAAAAAAAAAAACAAAAAAAAAACAACCAAATCAGAAACAAAAATCAAAAAAATAAAAAAAAGCAAACCAAACAAAAAAACAAGTGCCTATAAACTCCATGAGGTGTTTCTTAATTGCTAGATTATTTAACAGAGATACCTTTAAGCAGATGGCTGCAATCATTTCAGAAAGAGAAAATAGTAACATCAGAAACACAGAACTTACAGGGAAAAGGTGAAAATGCATTTGTCTGCATCATGAAAAATAAATCTCGAACCAATTACACTCGGAATGGATGACAAAAATGACAGGATCTGAGAAGTTATTTCTGAAATGGCTCACAAGTAACCCACCATATTTTTTCGACATAGACAACTGTTTTCTACAATTTCCTATAAAGCAGTGACCATCAGAGTAAGAAATCATTCTTTGAGGGGAAAAAAACAACAGTGCTTCCCTTTGTTGAAGATTCCAGTAATTGCTGAGTGATTGAGAAGTCTGTCTACATAGTAATTACTACACGCATGCCCTATACATAGGGCATTTCCTTTGTAAGGCAAAGCATTAGGACAACAGTCTCATTGGAATATACAGAGATATTCATTTCTCTATCAAAAAGATTAATATAGATTTTGCTTGGGCCAGTTTAGTGTGATCACAGTGTCTTCCAGAACTCCCAGCACCTTAAAATGACACTATCAGCTCAAGAGTGAATAAGCTCATCCAGCTGCTTTGAGCTTCACATAACATTACTCAAACCTCCCACATCTTAATTCTCTCCTTTCTATCTTCCACAACTGTGAAAAATACTTTTTCAATGCAACAACAGAAGATAGAAAATACGTGAATGTATATGAAAATACATTTCCAAGCTATAAAGCAAATATTTAAAAGCATTTAAAAGTTTTTGACTAGGAATGATGTTTACTTCTACGCAAAAAAAAGATAGCAGAATTTTAAAAATCATTAAAAAAAAAAAAAAAGAGAGAGAGAAGTACCAGAGATTTCAAAACAGGATATCTGAAATTTATCAAATGTAGTTATATCAAAATGCAAACGTGACATTTTCTTTTGTTTGAATATGGCTGATGAAAGTTATATATACCATACATTACGAGAAAGATGTAATATAGTAGCAAAACCCAGCAATTTTTCTGGTATCTGCATTATTTAATGATAGTCGTGCAACACTGCATTCATGCACTAACCTGCAAACTCGGGCAGGAAAATACAGGTTCTGCCAGGACCGACAGAGGTATTTAGAGTGATCAATAACTCGAATCCAGTCTAATTCATCCATAGACACCTCAATGTAGTAGGAGTAAGACCTTTGGATTTTAAAATAAAGGATGGGTTAGAATACAAACAGTCACACCTTGGATGTGAACTTCTTCAACTTCTTCTGAATTTCAATCATGCTGAAAAGAAAGTTATTTTCTCCTTACACAGTCCTATATCTAAAATAATGTAAAAGAGATCCCTATTCTAAATTAGCTTTGATTACAAATTCACATGCAGTTTCGTTAAGAGACATTTTCAGAATGACTTGAAACATCCTAACATACAATCTGCAGTAATCAGGTGAGACTATCACCTCAGAAAAAGCAATGACAACTTTCAAATTCAGTGATATTTAGCCATAAAATAATAATTTGTATTCCATCTGCATGAAATAAATCTAAACTACCAGTGATGAAGATATTACTATTGCCACATCAATAATAATAATCATAAAACATCTCCCACAGAAAAAAAAAAAAGAAAAAAAAAAAGAAAGCTGGGGTGGCACAGAAACTAAATACTAAACCACAAAACCACCATAATATCTATGTCTTGTGAACACAAGAAGTGTTTTAGTGAGAACTACTGGTGATAGATGGATGGTTGGACTGGATGATCTTGTAGGTCTTTTCCAAGCTTGGTGTTTCTGTGATTCTGTGAAGAAGTTCACCCTCTCTGATTCTGCTGCCAATGATGGCTTGTTCTACTTAAGTTCAGAGGAAAGATGCATGACAGTTAGCAGCAGAATATTCTTGACTAAACTGTGCTAAGGAGAATGTTTTCCACAATCTCCACTCCCAGCTTCATCAACTGCTAATTGATTTACATCTTGTAGATGAGAGGCAAATTAGAAGCTATTAGGTCTCTAAAAAAATTCAAGAGAACTACTCAGTATTTTCACCTCCAATACTTTTCAAAATTTCATTGGACACTGGGTTTACTTGGTTGATCTGTGACAAATAGTTTAATATCGTAAAAAGTTGTTTATTGCACCTTTTGAAATTTTACTTTTCAATCTTTCCCAAAAGAAAAGAGAAGCATAAACTTCAGCTGAACTCACTTCAAATAACTAAATAGCTAAAAAAACAAACAAACTTGTTTTGAATGATAACTGTAACTGATATTTTAAATAAATTTTAATTTACAAAAACAAAAATCAGTAGAACATCAATGTTTTCTGTTCTAAAATAACACAGCTTGCTCAAGAAAACAAAACTTTTGCAATTCTCATTTGTTAGCCTACAAGTACAAAAAATATAAGATAAGAAAGATAATGATGTGTTAGAGTATAAATAGCATGTTCTTTTTGAAAGAATATTGCTTATGAATACCTGCATTAGCTATTTTCTAAATTAAAAAACTTTTGTGATGACATTTAAGGCTCTTACAGTGAGAGCAGGGCTGGTCTCTTCTCACTGGTGACTGGACGAGGGGAAATGGCCTCAAGTTGTGCCAGGATAAGTTTAGGCTGGATATCAGGAAACACTTCTTTACTGAAGGGGTTAGTAAACACTGGAACAGACATCCCAGGGAGGTGGTTGAGTCGTCATCCCTGGATGTGTTTGAAAACTGTTTGGATGTGGTGCTCAAGGACATGATTTAGTGGAGGGTTGTTAGAGTTGGGTAGTATGCTTAGGTTGTGGTTGGACTCAATGATCTTTATGGTCTTTTCCAACCTGAGCAATTCTATGATTCTATTCCAAATAAATTTTTAGTCTCTGAATTACTGTCAGAGATTTTATCTCTTGACCTTTTGATACGTTGAAAAACTCTAAACAAACATTCTTCCAATTTCTGGGATGGATATATCTGCATAAGAACTAGAATACCCAATTTTATATTAATAGTTGGAAATTAAATTGCAAATAGAAAACAAAACAACTAAAAGTATTTAAATTATGTAAGCTTTCAATAAAAATATATTTAATTAAAATAAAAAATAAGCCTGACATATCAATTGATATTTTAATAGCACTTAATGAGGTCTTGCACATATGTAACAACAATTTTATTTAAAAAACAGTGTTTTCAAATAAAAGTTGTCATTGTCATTCCCAACATGGTACCATGCTGTTTTAATGAAATCTTCATGAACATTCTGCATTTATGCGTTACCGCAAGTAAAAAATGCATTACCTTCCCTCTTTAAGTCAACTTGGCACCTACCTACTGTCTCTGTCCCAAAGGAGAATTCGTATGTGGTTGATTATTGATGGTTGGCCTAGTTTGATTTCGATACCAGAACGGCAGTCATCATCAATTGGGTGTCGAGAGAAGCCATGATCCAAGTCATAGTTTTGAGTATCCCCATCTAATAAAGCAGACTTGAGTTCCCCTTTTACAACCTGGGCTCCATACTTCATTGTTGCAATATTTTCCCCTGGTACTAAGAAGAAAAGGAAATAACAGTTTAACATTTATACTCACATCACGCATGTTAGATGTTCTGAACATTAACTGTATACAGTTAAAATGAAGATTGATTGCCATTATCATTTCTCCAATACTGGTTGCAAACAGACGCTCAAAGAAAGAATTACAAAAGGAGAGTGAGTGCAGAGCAATACCTCCTCTGTAAACCCATTGTTTCCAGCAATCCACAGTTCCATTTTCTAAACCAGAAGATACTGTTCTTTGCTGTTTAATACAGAGATGTAAATTTTAGAAATTATTTTCACTGTTTTAATAAAAGCTATTTTATAATTCCATAATATACGATTATGACCACAAAGTAATTATGCATTTTGAAAATGGATTTTAGAAATTCTGCTTCTTCCATTTCTTTTGATGCCACCTAGATCTCACACGATGAAAGTAGCGATGATTGACTACTATACTGTATCTATATTCTTAAGGTGTTTCATGATTTTATGGAATTCTAATGTACCTTCCTTATTCAATTGTCATTTTCCACCCGAATAGAAATTTTTGGACTAGTTAGTCTCTCCTTGCAATCAGTCTCTCACAATCTCTCTCATCATTTTGGGGCCTTTCTTCCTGACTTTTTGCCTTAAATTCAATTTTTTAAAGTTATTTTTATTTTGAAGTAGAAGGAAACTAAAACCATGTAAAATGCTCAAGACATGAAAGCTAAATTAACCTGAGTAAAAGACTATGAAGTTAACGGAAAACTTTTTAATATGTTGACTTAAATCTAAAGAAACCAGTAAAATAAGCCTCCTTTGTCACCATTTCAAAGTAATCAATCTGTGTAACCTAGGAACAAATCTCCCACCAAGAAAACCAGTGATAATGATAGCTAGCTACAAAGCAATACACTGACCAACTACTCTGTTAAAAAGACATTTTTAACAGTCTTCTTTGAGGAGAGAACCTGGAAAACATGACAGTATTAAAAAAGTCCACCCCGAACTCTTCAAATACGTCGGCAAGAGAAGTATGAAATTTAACAGAATATTAACTAACCTAATTTGTGTATCTAAAGAACATTCAGTTGTACACTTGAACATGCAACATTTAAAGGTAAAAATTTAACCATACTGTATTGTAATATTTCTACACAAACATTATAAAAGCGGCAATGCACAACTATGAAATTGCAAGTGGTCATCAGTGTTTCTACAGAGAAAAACCCAAGCGTCTGAACTAGTACTAAAACAACATAGAAAATCAAATTTTTAGAAAGCTGTGATTTTGGCAAGGATAGAAATTCTGAGATTACAAATATCTTGTTATTGCAATGTAAGGTGGCAGGAAAAGGAGTCAGAAGGTACCATTCCACTTTGAAAAATGTATTTTCTGGACAGTCAACAGAATGTCTTGTATTTATTTTTACAGTATCAAAGTATTAACTCAGATTTTTAAATATTAAGTTATATATTAACTTCTAAAGAAAAACAAATGGGAGATGCAATTCTAGGAAATCTGTCATCTTTTTCAAGGCTTATTCTGCGTGACTGACAGACTACGGGGCAAACTGCCAAAGAAAACTTTACTTTTTGCTGTGGGGCAAATAGTCTCTACATCGTATACTATATACAAAGCAACAGTATCTTCAAAAAGCTCAGCATTAGATATTCTTGTTGAATTAACAGCGAGCAGAAATAAGAGAAAGCAAACAAAAGGCTTTTCATGCTTTATTTTTCTTTTTCAAGTTGTTCCCATTATGCAATTTGGAAAATCTGTTTATGCTATTTGGGCAAACATGTCAACAGTAACAAAAAATCAAAAATACTGGAGAAAAGATGGATATGTCATAAACAAATCAGCATCAATGTAAAACCATTGAAATTCCATTTAGCACACAACAAATCATTCCTCCAAAAGATTTTTTACTAAAATAACAGTTCCTCAAGGAAAATACGTTCTTAAAACAAAGTACATATTTGAGCAATTCCTGAGACACAAACATAGAAAATATGCTGACTAACGTTATTTCCCACCTGAGGAATAAAAACTCAACAAGTTAACCATACCTTCCAGACAGCTACAGCACAGCAGTCACAAAAGGAGGGAAAAAGCATAAAAATGCTTACTTAACATGCCCCTGTAGTTGAGATCCATGTCCCGACTCTCAGAACGAATCTTAATGGCGTCTAGGATGGCATCAGGTGACAACAACCCGGAAGGTCTTACAACATTCAGCAGTTCTGTTAGACTCATTAGTGGCAAACGCACTGCTTGCATGATTTCAGCGTGGTTTTCCTTAGGGTTATGTTTACACCAATTCATCAAGGCTTGAAAAATGTCCTTCTCAGGAGCTGCAAAAGAGTCCCTCAGTACGATACTTAGAAGAGCAGCCTGGAAAAACGTAAAAAAATAAATAAATAAAAGGGGAAGAAAAAAAAAAAAGGTTTTTTTGTTTCTTTCTTTTAGACAACTTGTAGTTGTTAAACTTCAAAAGAATGACTACTAGAAACAGCACATAGTAGAAGCTAAAGTCCTCTTAAGATTCTTGATATCCAATTTAGTTTCTCTGATTAAGAAATAACAAAAAAATCCACATTCGTCTACAGTACCTGTACTAAGAGTATTGCTCAACAAGACAATCTTCAGTTTAAGTACTGTTTTTATGCCTTTTTTTAGTTTCTTACTGAAGATTCAATAAATCTCTAGGATAAATATTAAACCATATTATTAATCCACTATGAGAAATAAGATGGAATGGAAATGTGGGAAAAAAATCAATTTTATTCCAAGTTATTAAATTGCATAAGTAAATTTAAGGTAATAAACAATAGAAGAACTAATTTGGAGATGTAGTAATACAATTCAAAACATTCCTTTAAACTTAGAGTGACATAAGATGACTGATACGAAAATGTCAACGGAGGGTTGGAATTACCTTTTCAAACCCATTCTAATTACTTGGGCATTTTTTATCCCTTTTCTCTTTCTTTTGGGACAAACTTGGTATCAGCAGGTAAAACCCTCAGTGACTCCTACTCACGCAAATAATCCACAGATAGCAAAATGAGAACAAAAAGAACTGAATGGATTCTGACTCTCATTTAGCAAGCAAAATAATTAGAAGTCTGCCTTAGAAAGGCACAAATCTCTTTTATATGCCAGAATTGGTTACAACAAAGATTTCAGAAAGTATATGCCTTCAGAACTCAGATTTAATAAGCTGATTATGACAGACTACCATAGGGAAAAAACATCCTTTCCCTACACAGCTAGCAAGTTAGTCAGCAAAGCAGAAATATCTTCTACTTATTCAAGGAACTGATCCATCACAGTTTTTCCACTAACACTTTTAACACTTTTTTCTTTATTTTTTCAAGTATAATTAAGCTATCTTTCATTCAAGATACTTTGCTGCTTCACTTGAATGCTACTTGAAAACATTAAACCACTATTATGCCCAGCTCAAAGACCATTCCAGAGAATGTGGAATAATTCAACAGCACAGAATTGCCTGAATCTTACACAAATATTTATGCATCTAACAACAACAAATATATTAAAACAAAATTAAAGAAATACACCCTGCAATACCATCATATTACATGATTTCAGACCTCACAAATAATCAGCAATATAAATCACATCAAGCCTCAGGATACTGCAGCCCACACTGTGGAAAACTGCCTATGAACAGAGATTGCCTATATCAAGAAATTAATAAAATGGAGTACCTTCTATCTTTACAACTACTGGGCAACATTCAAAAACCAAGTAATACTACTCCAAGGACAGATAAAAAAAATACAAGGTAGAATTAAGTTGCCTGTACCCAGTTACCAGAATATTCCCGTTTTTAGCTAAAGTGAGTGGTCAGAACTAAATTTCTAAAAAATTCAGAATGGATCATCAAGGTTTTTACTTCATCTTGGTCTGAATACTTCCAATTGTCTCAGTCCCGTGAGTACCAAGAGATAACTGTTAACAAACTTATAAGCTTGTATTTTACACCATTAGTATTTAATCATGGAATGTATGCAAAAAAAAATAATTAATAATCCCAAGGAAAAATGCAAACAAAAACTATACCTTAGAAAGTGACAAGAAGCCTTCACTGGAGAGTACCTCCTGAGCATTTCTATCCATGAACATACAGCACATACAAGTTAATTTGGGAAGGGAATAAAGACTGGCAACGTCAAATGTCATACAAACATTCTGAATATTAAGTATGGTGCAAAGATAATCAGATGTGGAATCCTCCAGTTCTGGAAATCCATACTTATGTGCCAGGCTTAGGAAGTCTAGGAGGACCTCCTCCTTCTCATCTCGTAGTGTGGCACGACCAGTGTAAATATATTTCATCAGCATGGTAAAAGCTTCTGCAGTTGTGTCCTGAAGAGGAATTTCTGCTTCAGGCTGAGATTCTCTCATTCCACCATACAGTAATGCTCTACAAAGCAGATAAAATTTGATAAAATTTGAGAAACTTACAACCTAGAAATATCTGCTTTATTAACAAAAACAAACAAACAAACAAAAAACAACATACAAAAGGTAGAGAAACAAAATGACTAGTAACAATACAGGTGATGCAAAGGGGATGCATTTCCCTGCAGCTACAAAAGAAAAAAGCCTACACATTATTTAAAGTACAGTTGGCCACTGAAAACAGTGCACAGGAAAGAATAATATCCTAATGCATCACGCTTTTATTCTATGGAACAATTGCTCCATCTCTACTTTGAGCAATAATTGCAAAGCAGAAACTCAGTTGGGTTTTCTGTTGTTACTGATTTGTTTTTGTTTTTAAATAGTGTTAACAGTGAGGAAGAAAGAAAAAAGAAAAAAATGGCAGAAAACAAGTGAAACAACTAGTTCATCACCATAACAGCAGTGGTGGATTAAAGTAAGGAATAAAAGATCAAGAATCCTGGGATTTGCTAAACCCAACATGAGACAAGCCTAAAGATGTCCTGAATCTTTAGAAGGAAAAAAAAGAACTAAATACACCCATAATCTGTTGGATTTTGTTTTGTTTTTAAAGTGTTTGAACACAATTTGTTCTTATACTGCAGTTTTGTCAGAGGAGCATGTTAGTAACTAAATTAGAACCTAAATTCATAATAATCATTTTCCAGAAAAGTGATTCTACTTAGAGTGAGAAGTCCCAGATCTTCAAAATGAGATGCATTAGTATTATTCTGTGTTTTAAAATATTCTAACCTGAATCAAACAGATCTTTTCAAATGCTTAATTTCAACACGTCAAAAGTAAACTTCTGATTAATACAGTCCACAGAAGCACACTATCCATGCTCTGAGAAATCACAAAATTTTACAGCAGAACTTTTATTTTTCTCCTGAATTTATGAAAATAACTTCAAAGTCCAATTTAATGAAGGTCAAAAGAATAACATCATGACATGGTATTTATCTTCTTATATCTGGACAATGACTTGATGTGCTGGGAAACATTCACACAGAAAAGGTCACACTCAATGATGATTACACACTGAAAAGTTCATAGAGAAACAATGTTTATCTTATCTGCATGAAAATTTGCAGTGAGCCCGACAAAAGCTATGCTTCACCTGAAATAATGGCACCTCGCAGCCAGGATCACTCTGTGTGCTGGAAAACGTTTCTTTTCCACGATGAAGGTAACATCACTGTATTCTTCCCCATTCATCAGAGCACCAATATGCTCTGACAGAATGTGAACATGGTCAATCTCACCAACAGCTGTGTAAGGACGAAGCGGATGGCTGTTACTCATCTTGGAAGGATGGTGATATTGATAGCCTACAGAGAGAAAGAAAATAACTACTGTAAAGGGCACATTTAGAAATAGCAATGATGAAAAATGCAATTATGAAAAAAAAAAAAAAGGAACCAGTGTAAGCTCTCTCTCTGATTCTCTCATATATTACGAGGAAAACGAAACAAAGAGGTTTTCTTATAAAGGTAATTTATAACAGGACTCAGGGCAGCTTGCATCAACAACTCTAGTCAAAAATTTTTCAGAGACTTCCATCATCTCGCTCCTCCATCAATCCATTTACTTAAAAAAACTTAAAATGAATAAAAATTAAACAATTTCAATTACAATCACCATTATAAACAATATTTTTTGTCTGAATTAAAACGCAAATAATTACAGAGAAAAAAGTGAGCTGACCAACTTCACTTAACCTCAACTCTGAAGCCTCTACTAAAATCAGCAATGAGTAAAACCAACAGTGTTTGTAATCCATCCTTGAAGAATTCCAATCAGTTTTCCAGAACAGGAAGAACATAACTGTTTAAAGTTATGCCCGATGCTTTAACAGTCTAAGTCTCAGTGGCAAGAGCATCCAGAGAACTATTTCAGTCTTAAATCAGGTTCTCTTGTCAACATTCAGTTTACTTTTCAACAAAAAATGTCAGCTCCCTCACATAATAATCACCTGTATTTTCAGTGTCACCTCCTGTGCTATAAGGATGGATCACGTTTCTAAATGGACACATTCTTAGTGCTAAAGTAAGATGGTGTGTACAGAAAAATGAAACCATATACTGCATACAGCTAACACATTAATCTTCTACATGAAATACTCATGACATGAATGCATTTTTAGCCATATTTTGAAGTATAATCAGAAAATGCATGGCTCCATGTTTCCAGGCATTTTTACAGAACAAAGAAAGGAAAACACATGGATAGGGGGTAAAGAATTATATGTGCTTCAAAACACCTGGAAACTCTTAAAACAAAATCAAGGTATCACAGAAACACCATTTTGAATAACTTTAAACTAAACTAGAAAAAGTAGTACAGCAAATCAGATTGGAGAAAAAGATAGCATAGCAAATTGATGACAGATCACAATACAAGTGGGAGCAGAACCCAACTTTCCTCAGGCTTTCTCTGCCATCTGAATTAGAAGCTGTATGCCCACAGAGGCATTTCAATGTGGAACAAGCAATAGTGGCCAAGGAACTTAGGGCAGTCTAGACGTAACACAGAACGCTGTATGAAGTTATTCTTCTACCTCGACATAAGAATAAATTATTTTTATGTTGTTGTTTTTCCGTAACAGAACGTTTCCTCCATTTGCACTGGTTAATTTACACTTATGTAAAGCACTGCACTGAGCAGATCTATGCAACAGATCCAATTCTAGTAACATTTGCTTTGTATCAAGCAAGATTAACTTAATTCGCATCAATCAAGATACAACAAGCAACAGTATTTAACACAGCATAATTACTTGAGAATGCATAGACAACAGTGAAATTGAAATGACCTCAAAATGTAAAACCTTTTATTACACTAAAGGAGCAAACAAAAGGCTGAGTTTCTTATTCAGTTGCAAATCAAAAACATCCATATTCCTTCATACCTTCCATCTCTTTTAAGTCTGCTGTTGATGTTCATTGTTACGCACAATAGCCAGGCAACCCAATTACATACAAATTACATGCATATTATCAAACAAAATGTACTCTCTCTCTTCCAATAGTTCCACTTATCATTAATTAGAGAATTTCATTTAAGATGCTACAAGCATTATTAGTATAGGCACGTTTTGGTTTGAAAATCTGTTTTACTTCCTTTTTCTCTACATTATACTTTTTTGTTCATTCAGGTTTGTTTTATTTTTCTGTAAAATTGGGAATAGACACTGCTTGAAGAAAACCGGAGACAATGGAAGTGCTGACATAAGGAAAAGCCATTGGCTGCATGCTCGTTTTGTTTGCTGCTGCTGTAGATTTTGTCATATGCCAACAGGGCAAAGGGTCAAAGGGAAAATCGTTTCCATTTCACATAAATGAATAAAGAAAGAAATAGAATCAAAATAACACTTCCCTGCTAAGGGTACATAAACCTACCTCTAAACAAGCACAAAGTCTGAGCTGGGGGCTCTTGCTAATAAGCTGATAATGACAGTCTGATATCAACATCCTGGACTAACCCAGGTGATGAAAGTAGAAATTTCAAAGTCCTTTCATGTCAGATGCAAACTAAGTTTGTTTCATAGATGTTTAGTGCTCCCCACACTGCTGGGATGATGCATTATTCTAGATTACTAGTTTCAAACGGATCACCAGAACTATGGGATACAAAGAATAGCTGTGAGCCCTGGATGAGCAGCCTTTCAAATGCTTGATGATGCAGAGGGTTGAAAACATACAAGTCTATGAGAACTATGCACATGCTTTATATACTTTCCATGGGTAATACCTGTATAATGAAGAAGAACTCAAATTTATTTACCCATGTACTACACATTTCTAATGCCAGTTCCATCAGCATTCCACACAAAGCAGCACTGTATGAGAGCAGTCTTGTCTTTGAAATGTAGAACCAAATAATACATGGCCTTAGATCCTCCCAGACTGGATTATTTAGAGATGTTCATACAGTCAGCCTTTGAAGAGACCTGCACATTTCTTGTTTGAGGAAGTGAATAGTAATATATTGGTTTAGTTGAGGCAAGTTGCTATGAGTTTACCTGTGTAGCTAAACTTTACAACCAGCACTCCTGGTTGTAACTCAAAGTTTAAATACGGTAAAAAGAAAGAAGCTGCCTGGAGCTCAGCAAAATCCTTTATGATGAACTCTCCAGCATCTTCTGTAATCACTGACATTCCATTCAGATCCACGCCTTTGCTCTTCCTTGTGGTCGGAGAAGAACATTTAACAAATGCAGATGAAAGGCCAAGCCATTTATAAACCTCTTACTAGCACCATAACCTAATTTCCAGGAGCTATTAACAGCTAATCAGGTGCTCCAGAAGTCAGCTGCTGCAGCTTTGTTCATGCCACAGATATAGGTTAAGTACCACGATCTTCTCAGTAAATTTGAGGAGCTATTAACATTGAAATTATTTTAAACTCCACCTATGATGTCAGAAAAATCTACAAATCTCTTCTATCCAGAATCGAAACAGAAGACCCACGTCCTGGTGGCCATCTTACTAGTAAAGATGCAAAAAATGTGGCCCAGTACTTACTGTATAACATAACATGCAATATTATACAGCATGTCAAGGTTAGAAAAAAAATATATGACGTCAGTTTCCAGCTTGCTATATTCTCTTTTTAATAAACAATCTGTAACACGTCACAGCATGCAATACTGTGATCTACAAAACACAGCAACAAAAACGACAGTGACTTCTTGACTAAATTACTCTTGAACCAGAACTGCAACAAAGACCAACACGATGTCACCTCCCCTGCCCCATTTGGGCTATCATTAAAGACAGCCCTCTGAAAAACAGCGTTGTTTCACTGAAAAAGGGAAATAAATGCTTTTATACTACGCAGAAAAAAGGATCTAAGAAATTGTCCATGAATATGTTGAAATTTCTTTTTCTTTGAATTAAAA